CACTGTAGCAGTGCGCCACCGGGCCGGCCCTAGATTTGTTTTGATTATAAGATTTATTTCTGATTTCTAATGTTTTTATTGTGTTGAACGTTATATAACTTAGCTTGAGATTATATTTGTTTTAATATGGCTTATTGGAAATTGCAAGGACTTAATGTTAATAACTGCCCCATGTCACTACTAAATGTTTAGTAGTACAGCTGGAGGGCAGTTCATCTTAAGAGTTTATTCTTGAAGTTTTGTATCCCTTTTCCTATGGCTTTGGTCCTCTGGCAGGGGCTAACCTTTTAATCCTATTCCACATATGACAGTAAGAAAAATGACTGGTGCACTTGACTTAATATTGGTTTTTAAGTATTGCTTGGGTGTTGCAGTTTGCTTGTTAAGAGTATGAAGAGTGTTGCTAAAGACTGCCTTATGTGTGTTGTATCTGCTTTTCGTTGAAGTATGTTTAATACATTTTTATAATGTTTTTCTTTAGATTGACCCTCTTGCTGGAATGGCATCTCTTAGTATTGGTGGTTCAGCTGCCCCTCACACACAGAGTATGCAGGGTTTTCCTCCAAATTTGGGTTCTGCATTCAGCACCCCTCAGTCACCAGCAAAAGCATTTCCACCCCTTTCAACCCCAAATCAGACAACTGCATTCAGTGGTATTGGAGGGCTTTCATCCCAGCTTCCAGGTAAGGAATGGGTGGGTGGGGATGTGGATTATTTGTAAGTTTCATAGTGCTTTAGTGTATGGTAAGGGGTTTGGAGTTAACATGATAAGGAAAGCTGCTTAAATAAAATTGCAAAAGTTGCTTCAACAAAGTTGCGGAGAGAAAAACATTACTACATTCAACTCAGTCTAATTGAAATAAAGAATCAGTATATTTGTAGTTGTAAAGTTAATTCACTTATTAAGCAAGGATTCTATATTACCAAATGATGGTATAACGTGTGCTAATCACGTATTCTAAAGAATTCTCAGTTTTATGAATTAATCCAGATTGGTATAATAAAGGTAGAAACTATTGTACATATCACATTCAGGCATCTGTTCTGCCTGCCTCATTATTTCACCTACTTTGAAAATAATAGTAAATCCATAAAACTTTTAAAGTTTTTTCCCAAATATTTTGGCTTGTTACTTTACAGTGAAGTAAAAGTTAACTTTTTATTTTATTTTATTGGTTTGTACCTACGTACTTCTCTTGAGCCTTCTTTATTTTTTATGTTTAGGCTATAAGTTAGGGTACTAAAACCTAAAGATTGAAATGTTGTCATGACTCTGTAACCTAGTTAATACTGTACTCATACGGTTCTACCCTGATGATTCATTCACTTTAACCAAAATCACTGTACTTATTAAGGCATTCCTAGCAAAGCTAACTATACTAAGATTCTCTTTGCCAGAATTGAGAGAAATAAAAGTTGTAGTAGCATGAAATTCTCTAATTTTAATCATTGAGTAAAGCAAGACTGCTGGTCTTATTTTGACTCACTCAGGTATGCTGGTGTGTGCTTTGAGAATGTGTATTTTAAAATTTTTGCCTACTAATATCAAGAATATAAATGAACTAATAAAATAATTATTAATGCTGAAGAAATTTTCATCCAGCCTGACTAGTTTAATCAGATTCTCTATAAAACTATAGACATAACAGTAAGGGAATTAACAAAAATCCTTTTATTTTTTTATTTAAATTAAAAAAAATTTATTAATAGCATATTCATTCACACAAATTGTGATATTTCTTTATGCTCTTTACGTGACCTATCACTTCCCAAATCCCCTCCCTCTCCCCCTCAACCCTGACTTTTACAATAAGAACTTATATGTGAGATGTGAATAAAGTCAAGAATATGAGTAATGATAGGACTTCTGGCTACCTTCGTTTTCTCTAGTAGGTGGTCTTGGCACAAGCAGCCTGACTGGTATAGGAACTGGGGCTCTTGGACTCCCTGCAGTGAATAATGATCCTTTTGTACAGAGGAAACTGGGCACCTCTGGACTGAACCAGCCTACATTCCAGCAGAGTAAGATGAAACCTTGTAAGTGGTAGTGTTGTCTGTGATTGTGAAGTGTGATTGGTACACATAAAAAATTTGATTGTACGTCTGATTTGTTGTTGTTAGAGTTACATGTAAAAAAATGTTGCCTTACCTTAATATGTTGTTAGTAGGGCCATATGGTTTTGTTTGTTTGTTTGTTTTTGTTTTAGGCTGGCTGGTATAGTGATCAACCCCAGACCTTGATGTTATCAAGTATTAGGGCCATATGTTAATGTGTCTCTTAAACAAATGGGAATAAATTCAGAAATTTGAATTATTAAAATTAAAAAGAGGGGGCCGGCCCGGTGGCGCACTGGATAGTGCGCCGCTTGGGAAGTGCGGCGGCGCTCCCGCCCGAGGGTTCGGATCCCACATACAGACTGGTTCCCGCTTACTGGCTGAGCGAGGCGCGGGAGTAACACCGAGGGTTGCGATCCCGTTGCCGGTCCCCGGTCCGGTACGGGGGCAACACTGAGGGTTGCGATCCGTTGCCGGACACGGAAAAAGATAAAAGACAAAAAAAATAATAATAAAAAAATAAAAAATAAAAAAGAGGTCTCATTCCACCTTTGCTCTGTCTGGATTGCCAGAACAAAGTGATAGCTAATAAGAGACAGCATCCTTAGGGTCTTATCTTAAAAGTTAGGGTTAGGGTTAGTATGGTAAAAAGATTTTCAGTGGCTTAAATATTTGTATATAAATTTTGTACTTAACCTAAAAAGAAGTAGGTATGGTAAAAAGATTTTCAGTGGCTTAAATATTTGTATATAAATTTTGTACTTAACCTAAAAATTTGTTGGTGTTGTTTTTTAACAAGTCAAGAGTAGCCAGAATTTCATATTTCCATTTCAGCTTGGCATTTTATAAAGTAAATAATGATAGATTAATTTATTTTAAGGTTTAGCTTTATAATATATATAGCCTTATAATATATATCATAAATATTGCCATGTAATATATATGAAGTAATTAAGAACCAATTTTTAAAAGTTTACCTCCTTAGAAGTTATCTTTATATAAGTCCATAGGTATAAATGACTTACATATCCTTCTTGTCATTAGAACTCAATAGATACAAGGTTTGAAAATATACCAATTGACTTGAAAATGATAGTGTGTAAGGCTTGTCTGAATGTTATGTTTTTGTAGCATGCTTTGTGTTTATATCAGTCTTTCATGCATATGCATTGATAATTCTTATATGTTTAATGTGATTTTTATTATAAACCTATAAAGACTTGCTAAGCTCTAGTGAGGTTGTATTAAGGGTAAGTACATTTGAACCTAGTGCAATTTCATGTTGCGATAAGTCCTGATGAAGAAAATATTAAAATGGAACCATTTAAGGCAACGTTGTTAAAAATCTTTTATGTCTATCTAGAACACTTTAATGTAGAAACTTGACCACTTAATATTAGTTTGATTAGTTTAAAATTAGAACTATATTGGTCCTCTGGCTCTTTCTGTTTTATGGAGGAGTGGAGGAAGGGCTTAAATGCCCATTGATTGCTTCTCTGTTTTCAACAGCGGACTTGTCTCAGGTGTGGCCAGAGGCAAATCAGCACTTTAGTAAAGAGATAGATGATGAAGCAAACAGCTATTTCCAACGAATATATAATCACCCACCACATCCAACCATGTCTGTTGATGAGGTGAGTGTCTAAGATGATCTAATTATTCATTGTTAATCAAATCTTAAATAAATACAATTTTTAAGATTTTTAGAAATCCAGCTTAAAGTGTTTTGATCTATCTGTGTATCTTTTGAATCAATATTTGTCTCAAGCTCTGTTTATTGGTTGATATTCTGCTTAAATAAGTCTTCTATTAAAAATATTTGAGGAAGGCTCCTAGTAATTCCTTTATGTGTGTTGTTTTTGTCTTGCATTTTCAGGTATTAGAAATGCTACAGAGATTTAAAGACTCTACTATAAAGAGGGAACGAGAAGTATTTAACTGTATGCTAAGGAACTTGTTTGAAGAATATCGGTTTTTCCCCCAGTACCCTGATAAAGAGTTACATATAACAGCCTGCCTGTTTGGTGGGATAATTGAAAAAGGATTGGTCACTTATATGGCACTAGGTCTGGCCCTGCGATACGTTCTTGAAGCCTTACGCAAGCCATTTGGATCCAAAATGTATTATTTTGGGATTGCTGCACTAGATAGATTTAAAAATAGGTGAGTGGATAGATTTCCTGTAAAACTTGTTTTTAATGTAAAGAGCAGTAACTATCATTTACCAATTAATGGGTGCCAGGCCTCATTATTATACATTATTAACAGATCTTACATGGACTGTATGAAGTAGAAAAGGAAGAAGTGAAAACAATTATATTCATTAAAATTATCTCACAAGTGGTAATGAGATAGCAGGGGGTTTTGGGTTTTTTTCATTTGTTGACATATACTTTACTACATAGAGTAGAAATCACACACTTTTAAGTATACAGTTTTTTGAATTTTGACAGATTTATACAGTCGTATAACAACCACCTCAATCAAGATACTAAGTATTTCCATTATCCTGCAAGGGGTTCCCTTGTTCTCTCTCCTGTGTAGTCAGTCTCCTCCTACTCAATCCCTGGTAATCAGTGATCTCTATAGTTTGTCTCTAAAGTTTTTCCAGTGTGCCATTTAAATGGAATTATACAATATGTAACTTTTTGAATCTGTTGCTTTTGAGATTAATCCATGTTATTGCATGTTTAAGTACTTTTTTATAGCTGTGTAGTATTCTATTGTATTGATTGACTACAAATTATTATTTTATTTACCTGTTGATGAAAATACGAGTTGTTTCCAGATAGCAGTTTCACTGGCTCATTTTAATCTAATTTTAAAGTAAAATATGACCTTTAAAAAGCAAAGGTAATGTTTTTATTTTCTGATATAAAGTGAGTGAAATTCACAAGTAATTTCCCCACTCTACTTCTGTGTTCTTCCGCTTGGCATTCTCTTCAAATAAGGTATTCATAGGTTGAATGGGAAAGCTAGCCTAGACTAGTATTTGGAAGAAAGTTTTCATTAATAATGCTGCCTCTGTTTCTTACATAAAATAGTGAGTAATTGTTTTGTTGGCAGATTGAAGGACTATCCACAGTATTGTCAGCATTTGGCTTCTATCAGTCACTTTATGCAATTTCCACATCATTTACAGGAGGTAAGTGCCATCAATACCTACAACCTGTCTAGTAGTTGGAGGGTTTATCTATTTTGATTTATTTTGGGATTTGCTAGGAATGGTATTAGGATTTCTTAGTGATTGATATGATCTAGGTATACATATTATTTGCTGCTCATTTAGCAGCTTAATAATAGTATATGAAAAAATGTCATTCTTGGGTATCTTTTTAAGCAGTGGGTTTGCTTAATTTAATCAAAGGCTTTTACTAGTTCTTTTACCCTGATAGTGCTCTTGAAGAATAGATATATTTTACTAAGAGAATCTTTATGCTAGTACATATGGAAACCCTGCCTGATTCTAAAAAGAATATGAAGTGGGAATCTTAGGTGTAAATTAGTAAAATTTTCCTCTGCTTTAAATGTTACTATAATTTAACACTGTTAACACAGAAGACTTAAACCTATGTTTTTTTAAAAATACAGCCATCTTACCACCTGCTTAGATTGCTTTTTAGGTGCTTGTTTAAAAAGAGGCAGTCCCTGGGGAAATGGATCTAGAGAATATGATATGCATTTTAATTGTGTGATTGTGGTTCTTGAAATTTAAGAACGACTGTTTTAGTGATTATTTTGAGTTGATTGGTAAGCATTCTTTATATCTTTGTCTTGTTCTTGGTCCAAGTCAGCTTATATAGAACAGGAAAGCTAATCTTTATTAACTTTATTTTATTATATAGACAATTTTTTAATGTATATATATTTTATACATAGGGCAAATAACTTTATAAGTTTATATTTCAAGGAATCAGAAAGATCAGAATTTGAGCCTACTTGAAATTCTTTATTTTAATTTAGTCCAGTGCTTTCTACCTCATCCTTCTCGTTTTGTTTACAAAAGGGCAGAATTATTGTGATGACTTAACGTAGGGGACCATGGAGTAGGAGGCATGAGTACATTTATTCAAGTGAGCAGATTGGTGGGGAAAGGAGGAGATTCAGACCTAGGAATGTGGAGCTTGAAGACTGCAGAGCAAGCGAGGTAGCATGGGAGTGATCACACAAAAACTGGTGTCCCTAGCATCTACTATAGCAAAATAGTCAGAGAAAGAGGGAGGAGATCATTGTTTATCTTTCTATAATTAGTCAGTTTAAAAGGCTAAACTTTATTCAGAGATTTTCTTTGCCACTTTAATGTCCTTTATACAGCTATTATACATATAGGTGGTAGTTTTAGTTTTGCCAGCTAAGGACTATTGAAATAGCATCAGGAACCCTGTGTCAGGGTTTTGTTTCATAGAACCCTGGTCTGTGAAATGAAAAAAAAAACCTGCCCTAGAATACCCATTACTGGTTTTACTTACCCTTTAGTTGGATTGGCTGTATACAGTGTTTTTTGTTTTTATTTTGTAGTAACAACATTACTGAGATATGGTTTACACTGCAGTGTGTTTTTTTAGGCCTTAGATTTTTCATCAGTGTCCAAGAAGAAAGAGATGAGTTTACCATAAATTTTTAAGAATTTTACAGTTTATATTTATTAAGGGGTTTGAAAAAATTTATATGCAGGTGTTTGGGGCCGCTTTTTTTGAAGTTGTTTTGCTAGACTAGTTCTCTATAAATACTTTAACATACCAGTATTTTATCTGTAAAGGAGTTCTATGGTATGCACTTATGTATTGGAGTCAGGATGGGGCAAGGAGTAAGGGAGATAAGTGAACCAAAAGAGTACTCTGAAATTATTTTTTACTCCCTCGGAAGTGGGGGGACATATATTCCAAAATTTTAATTTCTGTTTAGAACTCTTTTAATGTGTTTCCCTCTCCCCACCCCTTTAGTATATTGAGTACGGACAGCAGTCTAGAGATCCTCCTGTGAAAATGCAGGGCTCTATTACAACCCCTGGAAGTATTGCACTGGCTCAGGCCCAGGCCCAAGCCCAGGTTCCAGCAAAAGCTCCTCTTGCCGGTCAGGTTAGCACGATGGTAACCACCTCAACAACCACCACTGTAGCTAAAACGGTTACAGTCACCAGGCCAACAGGAGTCAGCTTTAAGAAAGATGTACCAGTAAGTAGGTCTATTATTTTTCTCCAGGATTTGTTGTTATGTTGTAGTATATCCAGCAGTGGGCATGTATTATAATTTTATTATTGGCATAACGTATACCTAATTTAAGAAAAAGGTATAAAGATCAGCATTTCTTAGGATCATTGTAGCTCTCTCTCCATATTTCCCAGAGGCAGCCACTATTAATAGTTCAGTATATATTCATGCCCAGTCTTTCAACGTAGTCATATGATGTGTATGTTCTGTACTGAAGGAGTCTATATATACATTTTTTTTCTGGGATTTTTCAAGGAAGAATTTCACCTTATTTGCCTTATGTACTTTATTATTTTTTTTAGCCTTCTATTAATACTACAAATATAGATACATTGCTTGTGGCCACAGATCAAACTGAGAGAATTGTGGAGCCCCCAGAAAATATCCAAGAGAAAATTGCTTTTATCTTCAACAATCTCTCACAGTCAAATATGACACAGAAGGTGAGTATGACGTCATAGTTTATAAATGCCCTCTCCTATTTTGTCTAATGGGGTGAGAGAGAGATATTTGACCATTTTTAAAAATACTGACTTAAAAGGTAGAGGTAATAGAATCAAAGCAAAGAAAATATCAGTACCCAACTAGTGGTTGTAGTTTTTGTAGACATTAAATAGTACCAGTTTAAAGTGTATTGTTTTGCAGTGAGTTACAGTCTTTTTGAAGTAAACTTCATGTTTTCATTGTGATGGAAGGTTTTATTTATATATCTAGTCATACCTCATTTCCTTTCAGATTCTGACTATTCAGAGTATTTATTAGATGCCTAATAACTGAGTAGACTTTGTGAAAAGCATAAAGTGATGCTTGCCTCCTAAGATTATATGTTAAGAGATTACTTGGAAATGTCAGTGTTTTTCAGTAAGATTAGCCTAAGCAAGTGGGTTTTAAGATACAACTCAAGTATCGTGTTTCAACATCACAGCATAATTGGCTGGGAGAAATATTGAGGCCTTTAGCATCCTTTTTGGAAGAGAAGCTTCAAACTTAGAGGTTATTCCTGGAGATGGAAATCTAGGAAAACGTAGCTTTGATGTTAGATCTGCTAATGGTAGTTTGTAGATTAGTAATTTAAGGTGAGGGTGAGAGACTATAAATGTTTCAGTTTTTAAAGCTGAAAATGACTATAGAGAGCTGGCCCTGTGACTCACTCTGGAGAGTGTGGTGCTGATAGTGCCAATGCCGCGGGTTCAGATCCTGTACAGGGATGGCCAGTGCACTCACTGGCTGAGCATGGTGCAAACAACACCAAGCCAAGGGTTACGATTCCCTTACCGGTTGGGGGGAAAAAAAAGGAAATGGCCATAGACCATAGATGTTTCGGTCCTAATCACTCAAAGTTTGAGAGAAGACTGACTCCATATTACCACGGAATTGAACATACTATTCTTCGTAGCATCTATTTGACGTTGTGGAAAGAAATAGTGTGGTGCTTTAGCATGTAGTTAATTTTGCAAGGAGACACATGCTCTAGTATAGTTAGTTCACAGGAACTGAACCTTATCTTAACCATAGTGTAATTCTGTGCTTCCCTGTCATCGGTTCACTAGGTTGAAGAGCTAAAGGAAACTGTGAAGGAAGAATTTATGCCCTGGGTTTCACAATATCTGGTTATGAAGAGAGTCAGTATTGAACCAAACTTTCACAGTCTGTATTCAAACTTTCTGGACACGCTGAAGAATCCTGAATTTAACAAGATGGTTCTGAATGAGACCTACAGAAACATCAAAGTAAGAGTTTGTTCTTATATTTCCTTTAATTCTTTCTTTGTATTTGGCAATACTTGATTCTATAGGTAGACTTCGTTTGTGGGGGAGCGTTGATGTTTTTCCTTTGTATTGTCTGTATTACGTATCTATGGAAATTTCTCTAGATTTTGGTTTAAATATAGAACATAAATTCCGTGAAGAGTTAATCTTACAAGCATACATCTATGTTATTTTGAAAGTAAACAACTATTCTGAATGTGTTTTCATCATTCCATGCATGATTTTAGAACTTTACTGTCTGTTATACATAAGCAATATAGTATTGCTTAGCATAACTTATATGGCATCACCCTCTGAGCATCTTTTTTTTTTTTAATTTTATTTTGTCGATATACAATGAGGTTGATTATTGTGGCCCATTATCAAAACCCCCCTCCCTCCTCCCACGCAACAGTGTCCTTTCTGTTTGCTTGTATCAACTTCAAGGAGTTGTAGTTGTTAAGTCTTCTTCCCCCCCGCCCCTGGATTTTGTGTGTGTGTGTGTGTGTGTGTGTGTGTGTGTGTGTGTGTGTGTGTGTTTAT